AAAATACCCTAAAAATCCGAATTATCAAAAGTTAATAATGCAGAAATTTTATTTGGATTCTTGAATCGATCTAGATGGATAAAAACCCATAAAGCAATATGAAAAAAAATCCATGAAATCGATCTAGATGCAGATTCAGAAACCGAACCAAAATGTAGAAATCGATCCAGATGTAGAAATTAATGTTGTAATCGATCGGACTCGATCTGTCGTCGAATGACCACCGGAGTCGTCACCCCCTTTCTTAGTTCGTCTTCTCCAGTACGATCGACATACCTCGTGTTCTTCAAAACAACCTTTTGAACGACATACCTCGTGTTTTTCAAATCTTCTTTTTCAAGCTTCAATAGTGGTGACCATTTCCAAACCTCCACTCGAACACTTCGTCATCAAGCCTTGAAAACCAAACAACAACAAACTCGAATCAGAAGCAGTTCCTCATTAATTATCAATAAACTCGAATTAGAAGCAAATAATTTCTTCTCTTATCCTCTTTCTCTGAATCGGGCGAAGTCTAGGGTTTCCGATGATATTGATGCTCAGAAAAGAGACCGGTGAGAAGGGTGGCGGTGTTAGGGTTTCATAAAAGTGGCATTTGAAACAAATTGGAGATGGTGATGTGTGAAGCAAATCAATGACGGTGGTGTAGGAATGATGATTTGAGATATAATAGATAGAGGATGGTGGAGTAGGAATCAAATCAGATTCCAAGTTTAGAGGAGATTTGGGCTCTTTAAATGGTATCATAGGGTGAAACATTTTAACGGAGAGAGAGAGAGAGAGAGAGAGAGAGAGAGAGAGAGAGAGTATTTTTTTAATTTCTATAATAAAAAGATTCAAAAAAGAAAATACAAAGGATAAATTCAGGGGCAAATTCGTCATTATAAAAAAGTTAAAACTAAATTGGACTAAAATCGCAACAAAATGAAAAGTTTGGACTTCTGGTGCTAGTCCAAACTTTTTTGGACCAAAGTGACAATTTTCAGCTAACCACAGGGACCATTTGTGCAGTTTAGTATAAAAAGCAATTAAAATAATAAAATAAAGAGTAAATTACTGAAATCGTCCCTATGGTTTGGTCAAAATTGCACGTTTGGTCCCTAACTTTTTTTTTTTGCACTCGGATCGTCCCTGTGGTTTGATTTTATTGCGTTTTTCGTCCCTATGGTTTGGTCAAAATTGCACGTTTGGTCCCTAGCTTTATGTATGTAAGGGACGAAAAACGCAACAAAATCAAACCACAGGGACGATCCGAGTGCAAAAAAAAAGTTAGGGACCAAACGTGTAATTTTGACTAAACCATAGGGACCATTTCAGTAATTTACTCAAAGATAGTTACCGCTTCATCCAACCATCCGTTGTGTGTATGCCCAAACAACGCACTCTAAAACTCTCTATCTAATACCAAATTGTACAAACGGTGTTCCACGTTACATGCATGAAAAAAATAATTTTGTAACACAACCTCACTGCCTGCTACATAAGGTTGCAGGCGCAAAACCGAGAAGTCATGAACAACAGCGAATGTTGGAGGAGGAATAGGGGTTGTTGATTTGGCATCAACCTTCTTCTTTGGTCTTCGCTTTTTCTTTGGTGTCGTGTGCAACTAAAACAATATTGAAATGTTTAAATCATTATGTTTCGAATAATTCACATAAAAACGTATAATTAGGATATAGGCTTTTAAATTCAATGAACACCTCGATGTAAGGAGTACACCTATACTTTGATGGATTTCGAAGCCTAGGTCTATCGGGTGTAACTTCATTGCCATAAAAAACCTGATCATCAAAATGATTTACAGTCACTGTAATTATTACATCTTCCTCTAACACCTAAATTAATAAGATATAATCATTAATAAAAAATTTATGAATCTATTAACAAACAATTAATAAAATAAATGTAAGTATAGCAACCTGTTCAGCTTCATTATCATCAAAAGCGAACACATCATCATCGAATTGATTCGTACTCCGCCCGGCTTTGTGTATCCTCTCGTCCAACTACTACATTAAAACATTATAATTATTAACTAAAGGCGCCTTAACATTTAACATTTTAAATCATATTTTTAATATATATAATAACCTTTTCGTCTTTAATATCACCAAAAACATTTTTATTGGCTTTATTTTTATTCATCGCCTCATCATCTAAAACCTACATTTTCAACTATAAAATTTTAACAAAAATTTACAAACTTGTTAACAAATTATATCATAAATGTAGGGTGTCACTAACCTTTTCACCATAATATGTTTGGAATTTTGCAGGTTCCTCAAAAGTAATGTTGTTCCATATGCTTTCATTATCCACTTCTTCTACAAACACCTTAGTAGGTTCTCGGTTCATAAACACATGTTGCTCGAGTGCCTGTAGCTGTTTCAACACCTCCTCTAAGCTTGGTTTCCCACTACATCCACCTCTACCGTGAGAGCGACCACTAGAAGATATACTAGACGAAGATTCGTCTTGTCTCCTAAAATGGTCCCGTATTGGGGATGGAACTGAATTCCGTTCACCATATACATACTCTTGACATGACATATAATAAGAAGACACCATCTCATCATCACTCTGTGACATGCTATGTCTTGGTCGCCGTCCCTCCTAAAACAATTTAACATATTAAAAATGCATATAAAAGTGCAATCATGAATTTTTTTAAAATTAAAATAATATTTAAAAACCTTTGTCATGTCAAAAATCTTGTTCACATCAACCCATTTCAATTTTTTGGTACCACTCCATCGTTTGATCCGAGGTGTGTCTCTGTTTTTTTGTAACGCAAATCCACGAGCACGAACAGTTAGAAGCATCTCATATAGCCATATCTACAATTTTCACAATTATAGTAATAAAAATTAAAATAACTAACATAACAATAACATCTTACAAATAATAATAAATTTGTATACCCTAAATGGCTCCGTAAATCCTGAAACGGAGTATTTAAAAGTTTGGCGACGCTCCGGCAGTGAAAAATATCTATCTATCTTGTTCCACGTATCCTCAAGGTCATCATAGGTAAACTACCACAGATAGCTACCCCAAGCAAAACTGCCAAAAAATAAAAATTAATTATAATATACATTAACATTAATAGTATGAAACTTTCAAACTAGACAAAAAATACCTGTTCCACACATCCAAATTCTCGGCCAAAAAAACCAGTCTTGCGGCACCCGGTCATTTATTTCTTTTCCCAAAAATCCTTCACACAAAATGTATATAAGACACACTCTAACTGCATCATCGTCGGTAGCTTCTAAGAAGAGATGATTTAAAATAAAACTTTTCAAGTCACACATTTTCATCAAACTATTTGTATGGTTCGGAAATAGATGTTCCCACAATAAACATCTTTTTTTACTACTAACTTTTTTTTTCCGAGACTTTTTTCCCAATCATTTTGGGATACACACCAAAATTAAACTGGTTATGAAACAAAACTCTTCCGGGCCATAAACCATTGTCGTATCACCCAGTCTAAAATATAACCGTTTTATGCCATCTGGGGATAAAAACGGCGTTCGACCGTAGCTGATGATGAAACATTTTATGGAATATCAACCCGTTCCCTTGTAATTGAGGGACGTCTAACAAGTAACCAAACACGGTCTGTCTAAAACTTTCGCGTCGTGCACCATGTAGCACCTCCAATACTTCTCAAATGTTGCACCCCGATCCTTTTAGGTTGACAATAGCTTTAACATTTAAATTTCTATAACCATGCTGAAAAACAATAACATATTAGAAAACTAAACAACTATTTTCTTTAAAAATATCCGGATATTAAATGGAATAAATAAACCAACATTC